TGTGAGAAAGCCTCCTTGCATAAAATGCTATGCCTTAAAAAATGTTCGAAAATATGTACGTCTGGGAAAATTCTAAAAATCACAAAAATTTCACTCATATATTAATAGAGCAATGACTAGGTTCTGGGTGAAGCCTAATTAAAAAAATTTGAAATTACCTATTTCATCTCCCATCACAGCAGCAAATTCAAAAAATTATTAAACAGGAGGCTTTAATTGGGCCTCTCATTTTCACAACGGGACTTGAAACAAGTACCGGACGGGAAACAAAAGATTTTTAAGAACTTTTCTATTTAACAGTTTATTCGATTTGATTTTTATGAAATTGGTTAAAATTGATTGTTTGGACCGATGTTTTTGAATTACAAAACGTTTAGTATTCTTTCCTGTGTAGCAAATTAGAAAATTTTCCAGATTTTTAACAAAATGGTTCTCGAAGTAAGTAGAGTTTAGTCTATATATCACAGGATGCAATAAAAGAAAAAAAATTTTGCTGTTTTGTTTTGAGGCTTGCTTATCGCTATAAAAAGCCCTTGGCTCCTTATCGATATAAAATTCTTGATCTTTTCCTGACAATCCGCACCACGTTTCTGCTGGAAAAAAGTCCTGAATATAATTATGTTTTGAGTTTTAAGGGTTTAATTTTTTTCAAAGATCATTATAAAGTTGTATTATAACTCTAATCATTGTTACTACAGTCGCTTAACTGTTATCCAGATAATGAAACGCTTGAAGACAAATCAAATTAAAGCAACATGAATTTTCATACGTTCAGTTTTTAATTGAACTTGAAATTTAAATTTTGAATATCTGATTAGCCACCATTCATATTTTTTTCTAGTTTCAGTTTTCAGTGTTTTCAAACTACAGGGTACAATGCGTCGGACGCAATCCCACAATTGTTATCTTTGTTTCGTGACATCATAATGTACCCGTCCATTCCCCACCTGGCCCCCCAGCTGTTCTTCACCAGCCAGTAGTCCTCCCCCCTCCCCCTCCCCCCTCCCCCCTCTTCGTCACTTTGGTACACCCCGTAGCCCACTACAAGCACTGCGTGGTCCAGGTAATTGGGGGTCACACCATTTAGAGTAGTAGACTCCGCTTTTGTAGAACTAGAGAAGGAGACATTCCCTTTTTTCAGTCACTTATTGGTAATTTTCAACTCGTTTAGCGGGGTAGAATTCATGAGGGTAAAAATTCAAAATTTAGTGTCGAGAATCATTGAAGAACTATAGAAATAATATCAAAAAAGAGCACAAAGAAAGCAATAAAAATCTTTTCTGGCAAACATAAAAATAGATGACAAATTTTACATCAGCAAAGGAAGAGACTTTGAACAGTGTTGTGAATCATACCATTCTTTTCTTATTCACTTAATTAATCTTAAATTATTTTAACTGGTTAGTTTAGATTTGACCTTCTTATGTTCATTCTCTCCGTCGGAGAGAATGCTCTCTCACTTTTTAATGTTTTAACTTGAGATTAATTCACTTTTTAAACACATTTTATCTGTAACTAAGTAGAATTAGCTGTAACAAAGAAACATTTTATCATGGCGCAGTCAAACAGTAACGAATCAAACGTGAGAGGTATACCTTCATTCTGGCGAAATCACACGGTGGACCCACCAATTCATTGGGAAGAGTGGAGCGATTTATTCCAACAAGCAATAATCGCAAAGGAAAATATCGATATCGAAAATCTTTTGAATCCAACGGAACGATGTCACCCACTCCCTCCAACACTAGAAAACGAAACCGATTCTCAAAAAACATCTCGCTTGGAGAGGCACATCCGCGAGCAAAAGAGATATGACGACGAAGAAATTGTCTCAATAAAGTCAGAAACTAAGAAATTCAACGGCATGGACTAGAAGAGGCGGACAAAAACTCAGGTCCATACTATATTTAGCCCTCGGAAATGAAGGAAAGAAAATATTTGGCCAAAAGTTCACGAGAGTTAAAGTTCTACAAATTTCCTTCAAAGGTATCTGGGAAAACTTGTCTTTAGCATTTGTGAGAACGACAAACGTGACCTTCGAAAGACATAAGCTTTTGAATAGAAAACAGAGAGACAGAGAATTGTTGGAACATTTCTGGTGAGCACTTGCAGAAATGGCAAAAAGATGGGACATACGGACAGGAGAAGATGAGTGGATTCGAGATATATTTATCAGTAATATGAAAAACTCGGATATCCAACGGAAACTTCTCACGGAAACCTTGCCTCCCTTAGAAGCATTAAATGTGGCTTTGATCGACGAAAAAGGTATAACAAACCACATGAAATTGACGAGTACTTTCAAATCCAACGGATACTCTTCCAATAAATCTTTTAATCATTTTAACGTGAAAAGAGAACCCACCTTAAATATCAAAAGGAACAATACGTGTATGAAATGCGGCGGAAACTTTTCCAAAGGACATCTGCCAAAGATACGACCTGTACAACTTGTAAATATCGAGGACATTTTACCAGACTCTTTAAATCACGCCGTAAAAATGTAAATATTGTGGATAGACAAATTGTAAAAAATACAGATTGTAATTATCCTTCGGAACAACCGGATGTTAATAACGACCGTGCTAATAGAGAATGCTGTGGAGTAAGCAACGCATGGTCGGAGTCCGGACAGAGCGATAACGATGATTACTCCGTATTAAATGTGACAACTATCTACGACAACCTAGGAAAAGAATTGAAGAAACTATTAAACATCGGCCTAGGAAAGGAAACCAAGTAATTCTCAACATACAGGTGGATTCAGCTAGTCCCGTGAGTTTCCTCAAACAAAATGTCCTAGATGAGTTGAAGTTACGAGACCCCTATGTGAAGATATATCCAGTGGATCAAACGACTAAAGAACTTTATTGCAGATTTACAGACAAGGCAATCAATATCACTGGAAAGGTAATTTTACCTATTTTCTCAAACGGATGGTCTCACAGGGAATGCCACTTCTTCTTAACAAAAGGACACGAAAGAGACATCTTGGGAAAAGACAATTTGCCAAAAGTGGGAATTGAAGTCTCCCAGAAATATTTCGCGCTCCACACCAACAAGAAAACTTGTAAGTCTATCAATTTGATTTCATCACTTGACAAAGAGAATGAAATAGACATGATTTCCAAAACTTTCAAGCAACTATTCCTTCGGATCGGAAAAATAAAAAATCAAACAAAAAATGACGTACTTCCACGAACCACTAAAACCAATTCAACTAAAGGGCAGGCGTGTTCCATTACATTTACTGGATTCAGTAAAAACTGAATTAAACTGACTCAAATCCCAAGGACATATTAAAAAATTAGAAAATTACGACGAGGACAGATTTATTAGTCCGATAGTTATCACTTGTAAAAAGGACCAATCGATAAAGTTAGCCCTAGATTCAAAATTCATCAACAAACAAATATACAAGAACTAATAACAGATGCCCAATATACACGAATTAGTGAATAAGGTAGCAGCTCAAATTTTTAACAATTTCGCCGGATAAGTGTGGTTCACCAACTTAGATTTAAAGAATGCATATAGTCAACTTTCTTTAGACAATTTTAAACGTAGCCAATGCAATTTTAGCCTGGTAGGCGGAGAAATAACGGGAAAATATCAATTCCTAACTGGTGTTTACGGACTCGGCGATATGCTCAACGGATTTCAAAGAGTCATGGACTCAACACTCGGAAATATTCCTTTTACTAATTGTTATCTGGATGACATTTTAGTGGCTTCTAAACGAAGTTTTATTGAACAAAAAAAAATTTTTTATAAAAATTTATCTAGCGTAGATAGTTACAATTTCGCAGTTAAGTGGTCAAAATGCGACTTTTTCCAAAAAGAAATTGAATGGCTTGGTTTTAAAATATCGAAATCTGGAATTGCTCAATGAATTGGCAAAACCAAAGCGATTAAAGACATCCCAATTCCAAAAAATTTAAAGGAACTAAGATCATTCTTCGGGTCAACAAACCAATACATCAAATTCGTACCAAATTTAGCATTCCTCGGAAGTCTTTTAAGACCCTTTTTAAACAAGAAGTCAATTTTCCTATTGAACGAAGACCATAAAAAAAGCGTTCGATAAGATAAAACTAGAAATAGTTAATCTTACAGAAAACACACATTTTGACGTTAAACGATCCACGAGACTAATAACAGACGTTTCACATAACGGGCTAGGTGCCTCCCTTGAACAACTCAACGATAAGGACTGGAAAACAGTATCGTTTGCTTCAATATTTTTAAATCCTCATGAATCCAAACATTCAACAAACGAATTAGAACTACTAGGAGTTGTATGGGCGGGGGACCATTATAAAAAACATCTCTATGGATCAGAGTTTGAAATTATTACCGACCACAAAGCCCTCTTTTCCGCTTTATCACCTAATTACGGAAATAAATTTTATCATAGTCGGCTAACAAGATGGGTAGATCGTCTTCTACCATTTAATTTTAAAATAAAACATTTAGCAGGAAAAGACATGGGTTTTACCGACCTAGTTTCAAGATCTCCTTCGGGAAAAACAATATCCCCATCACACTATGATGAAGAATTCGTAGTTGCAACTACCAAAAAAATATATAACGCACTCAATCCGTTGGATAGCGATAATCCATTATGTAATTCTATTAGTTCAAAATCGGAAAATTCCAATTACACGAGATTACGTAATCACGTGATAATTACAGCTCTGAATTTCATTAATTAATTTATTTGCAATCAAACGCACCATAGAACCGAACTCTGTAACTCTAAATGCATTCCCTCGGATTTCTCAAACACAGATCCAACTGAAATCTTTTTATCAAATTCAGCTTTTATTTATTTCCTAATTCTTAATTGTAGTTTAATTATTAGTCCTATGGATCTTAAACTTGTAAATATTGTAAATATGTCTAATAATCAAATTTTAGTTAACCCTTCTACCTCCGGCATACAGGTCACAATTGATTTCCAATTTTCTTCTGAACACAAAAAATTAGTGACAAAATATCGAGAAAAATTAAAATTAACCAAAAGATCTTTGGATTTCGGCACATTAGTTAATGCAAAGTTAGTCGCGTTATTAGAAAAAGACGATGAAATGTTAAACCCAATCGTTAAAGCCTCCAGAACAAAGTAAAAATTAATACTAATTGACGTTATTTGTACCATTTTTCTAAAGACCTTCACGAATCGGACGGATTAATATATGTGGATGGAAGATTGGTTATCCCTTTTACACTTCGAAATTCCGTTTTAAAGACGTTACGCGAATCCCAACCCGGCCAATTCGGTATGAAATACTTGGCACAATATATTTGGTGGCCTCACAAAAACCGGCAGATCTACTTCCATGGGAATAACTGTACACAATGCACTCAAACTGGTAAGAATATAAAAGCACTATACCTACCACACAAACTAGTGAACTTTTTACCTTATCAGATTCTAACGAGGAACTCAATCTTGGTTTTGCCGGCCCATTAGACAATACCTGGGGAAAGAACAAATACATCTTTTTATAAATAGACCGTTTCTCAAATTTTCCATCGGCTTAAATTACATCTTCAACGTCATCAAACACGGTAATCGAATTTCCTCAAGATTGTTTTTTATCTCCATGGGAATCCTAATTCTGTTCTTGTCGACCACGCGTCCTGCTTTACTAGCCAGGATTTCAAATTGTTTTGTAATTCTTTTAAAATCAAATTAATTTTTTGTACAGTTGGAGACCATCGTTCTAACGGTCTTGTAGAAAAACTTGTATATACTGTAAAAATTAAATTACTAGCAATGTCACTGGAGCACCAAAATCCTACTTCACAATTCGCTATCTCAAGAATCATCTGGAACTTACGCTCTTCTTTTCAATCAAAAATAAAATGTTTACCGTTCGAAATACATTTTAATAGAAAACCGAACACGATCTGGAAACAATTGGCATCTAGTAAATAATCCGGTGGATTTTTAGACAAAGGGAAGTCAATCTTAAGCAAGGAAAGGGCTCTCGACTGGAACGCCGATGATCGGATCGAAGACGGGTACAAAGACAGTCTAGTACCAAAGAAGAACCAGTCACCACTGGAGAAAGTATACGATTCGGATTACCATACAGCTTCAAAACCTTCTTTTTCCCGAGTGTCTCTAGGCAGCCCGTTTAAAGGTAAATTTTTTTCGAAAGACCAAAAGAAGTATAAACGGAAACCCCTTCTATAAACAATTTGGTCAGAAAATAATAAACGCATCAAAATCTACGGTCGAACTATCCGACGGAAGAGTCATTAGAAAATCGGACATTGCCATCCCGAAGTCTAAATCTTCTACAACCCGTTTGTTTAGAGGGAATATTTCTTTCCCTTCATTTACTAATTTTGATTTTCAAGTAGGTCCAAGAAAGACTAACAAGCCAAAGCCCCAACAGACGCGGAAATTAGGCCCTAAAACGAGACGTCGAATAGAACTGCCTACTACCGTCAATACAATGTCTGGAGGGCAATCAACTAAACCTTACAAGCCCAGAAAAAACCCGAAACAAAGCCTTGACTCCTAACACTGGATATCTAGCAGGTGACGAACCTATGTTCATTCCGTCGGATACATCTGACATTAGTGATTGGGAGTGGATCGCGGGTGGTTTTCCATGCAGGGAAATGATTAGAGAACGTCTCAATTTTAGCGAACAGTCTACCTCATCATTAGATCCTCAAACATAACAAGCTAACATAAAATCTGAGATTTAGATGAACAGCCTCAATCGATAGACCCAGTAGAATGTCCAATCGTTATAATACTAGCAGTTCAAAACAACTCTACGTCCCTCTCACCTAGCAAACCCTCTATTACAGCGACGACACAAGGCTCAAATGCTCCGTTCGATAAAACGAAGGAAGTGGAGGGAGAAATTACAGTCGATTTTCCAATTTTCGAAATCGAAGATTCCTCAGACGAAAATATTATCACTAAGGAAAGTCATCCAAAGTAGACCGCTTTTACCGGTAACGATTTTGAATTAAGACGTTCGAGTCGAAATGTTGGGCCTCCCCAATTCTATGGTAAAAGGTTGTACATAGATATTATAGATGAGAACGACAACCAACCCGGCTCCTCGAAAAACCCCATAACACTGGACGAAAGAGACAGTTCGGGCTCTCCTCCACCAATCAGTACAAAGAATCCCTCGGATATCCAGACTCCTACCTTTGACATCCAATCGGAAGAATGTACATCCTGCTCGGCGTTCTCATCTTCCTCAGAACAAATCTCTCTGATCTTCACGGACGAATCCCAGAGAGACACTGTGAATAGTTTTGATAACTATATAGATTTGGATAGTGAAGATTTCAATGCGGAGTTAGAGAAATTCGTCGAAAGGGACTGTTAAACTAAAACTTAAACTCTTGCTTATACTTTTGTGCTTCCTTACAGTGCTTCTTTATAGTGCAGTTAGAATTCAATTTTATTTGTAGTCAATTGATTATAATCCGCCGGAACCATAATTTGTGCTATTCTCCTTACCAAACAGTCATTCCTTCGGAGTAGCGAAATTTTTACTGTGGTATTGGGCAGTATCAAATTTTTCATTCCTCGGTGGACTCCTTTAGGGGGAGAAAACGGTCAGTTATCGTGTTACGTATTAAAGTTTTTATAGCAGTTTAATTTTTTCCCACTATGGGGAATGTTGTGAATCATACCATTCTTTTCTTATTCACTTATTTAATCTTAAATTACTTTAACTGGTTAGTTTAGATTTGACCTTCTTATGTTCATTCTCTCCGTCGGAGAGAATGCTCTCTCACTTTTTAATGTTTTAACTTGAGATTAATTCACTTTTTAAACACATTTTATCTGTAACTAAGTAGAATTAGCTGTAACAAAGAAACATTTTATCATGGCGCAGTCAAACAGTAACGAATCAAACGTGAGAGGTATACCTTCATTCTGGCAAAATCACACGGTGGACCCACCAATTCCTTGGGAAGAGTGGAGCGATTTATTCCAACAAGCAATAATCGCAAAGGAAAATATCGATATCGAAAATCTTTTAAATCCAACGGAACGATATCACCCACTCCCTCCAACACTAGAAAATCCACCGGAAAACGAAATCGATTCTCAAAAAACATCTCGCTTGGAGAGGAACATCCGCGAGCAAAAGAGATATGACGACGAAGAAATTGTCTCAATAAAGTCTGGCCTCTGAAACTGTCAAAACTCACGCAAAATGTGGTTAGATTAACACAATCTGAGCATATCTGCAGAGAAAAAACCATTAGAGTTACATTCGAGCCGCAGAAATTTTTATAGAAAAATTTAGAAATTGATTAAAACCGGATCACCTCAAATAGGCCGCTCGCATCAATTGCGACTGATATCGGCCCAACATTCGCAGTCGCTTCCTTCAGTTTATCCTCATTTCCTTTCGGCAAACTGACATATCGGCTCATAGTCGCAGCGATAGTGTTACCAGTCTCATTGCAAGTGTGGTTGAAGCCAAATTTGGACGTGTAAGGGTAGTTCACTTCGCTTATGGATCCATGTTGGCGGAGGTAGTGGTATCCCTGTTCGACATAACCCCCTGCACACCCGTAGCAGTATTGGTCACAGTCTACCAGTTGTTGTTCACTTAGACTCACTAAATTACCTGAAAAAATATCAAAAGTACTTTCAAAAAGTTACGCTGGAAAACTAAGTTCTTTCGCAAAAAAAAAGCAAATTCCATCTGTAGTCAGAAATCTTGTAAATTTTCAAACGTGAAATCAAGCAAATTGCTTTTCAATTTATACAACATTTATCCACGATGGGAAAAGGACCAACATACCAGCTGTACGGCTCATCACGGCGAGCCGCTGTTGTTCCCCTGTGTAAGAACTACAAGCAGTTTTTTTTGTTATTTTTCTGGGCTGGGTAATGTTGCCTCACCCTCAAGCAACGAGCACGGATCATGGTGGGCCTCAATCATCTGACCTTTCGTTTGAGAGGCGGAGATGTTGCCACTTCACCACCGCTCCCAACATTCATTCAGACTACTTGTTTTCTTTCGTTTTAGAAGCACTTCGGCCAAATTGAATATCAGTTCGTACTATCAAGACAACATGTTTTCTACAAAAATTTTGATTTTTTGTAGTCTTTTGGTACTTTCACTCCATTATTCGGCATTTTTTTCACAACACTTCTCAACATTTTCTGAAGAAAGATGCTTGATTATCAAAATCAATTGAACCTGTTGCGTTGAAATGCTGCCCTTCTAAGCCGCCAGTTGTCGAAAAAGCCCAACAACTCCCACACTCGTACTGATTCTTCACAGGTGTCACGTAACCCTTGTCCCTCCAATCAACAGTTACAGGTAAATCATCACCTACAGATGAGTCACCATTTCCATTTACGGAAGAAGGCGACGAATCGGAATCGGTTTTGAGTTGTTTTCGGTTTCCGAGATAAGTGGCTGCGAACTCCTCGAATGTCTTGTCGGCGAATGTGTTCAACTCAGTTTTGAAAGTTTCCAAACCGAGATCGTAGCGCATGTTATGAAGGCTGATCTGAACAAAACTGAATTAATGTAAGAGAAATGAAACCTCCAATCTGAAACGTCAATTGAATGGCTATGCTCTGCTGCTGTTAGTAGATTTGAGATTTGGTTCATAGCAGGTTTTCGCAAAACTTGTAAATCACCAGAGAAAAACAAGATCCATAACTGTGCTGAACTGAAAAGGTAGCAATTTTGTTATACAACTTAAACTTGAAATTGAACTCTGAAAATAAATCTATATTGTTCTCTCTGGCAAAAAAGTAAGAGCTGGGTACCAAAATTACCAAGAAACCATTTAATTAATGAGTTTACAGAGTTAACAATAAATGATACCATAAAAAATGTTGGCAAAAAGTCGCTAACCAAAAAAATGAGATTATGAAACCCGTGCTTCGCTTATAAATGCAATTCTAAATATTAAGCAATTACAGCAACAAAATGTTTCAAAACCATCCATCATACCTTTAGCGCGTTTTCCTGCCATTTCTTGTAGCCGAGCTTTTCTTCAGCCACAGAATCATAACTCTTGTGATATTTTAGTTTCCAAGCTTCCCAGACTTCATCCATTTCGGATCTGGATTTCTCCGTTAATGATTCGACAGCACCAACGATAGAAGAAAAAGTAACAAAAAGAAGCAGGGAACTTTTCATATCTGAATGATGATAAGCAAAATTCATGGATCAAGTTATTGGATTCGAAGGTTCCAAGCTACTATAATGTAGATATGTTTTCAAATTCAAGATCAGCAAATAACTAAAACTACGAAGTTTGAACTTGATTTGATTTAGAAACCAGAGCAAACTTGATTGATGGAAGACACTCTAATGTGTTTGATCAACATGATATTGGGCAAGTTGCGCAAATATTTAAAGTTCCGACCGGTTGTTAAGTCCAATTTGTTATGAATGTTTCAGAAAACTTGGATAATCTGAAACGAAAATCAAATTGCTGACATGTTTTACAGATGTCAGGTTGGCAGTTTTGCGAATTCTTAATTTTTAGCAGCATCAAAAGAGATCGGATAAGACCAAGAACTGATTTTTTTTGCTGTTATTTTTTGAAAATGTTTTTTGTGTTTTTTTTTGCTTTTTTTAAGGTAAATTACGATGATTGGGATTCACTGTTTGTTGTGATTCTTACCATTTGTTTTATTTCACTAATTACTTTAAAGTATCTTAACTGGTTAATCTTGATTTGACCTTGCTATCTTCATTCTCTCCGTCGGAGAGAATGACCGCTCACTTTTTTAATGTTTTAACTTAGAGATTAATTCACTTTTTAAACATATCTTATTTGTAACTAAGTAGAATTAACCGTAACAAAGGAACATTTTATCATGGCGCAGTCAAACAGCAACGAATCAAACGTGAGAGGTATACCTTCATTTTGGCAGAACCACACAGTGGACCCACCAATTCCTTGGGAAGAGTGGAGCGATCTATTCCAGCTAGCGATAATCGCAAAAGAGAATATCGACATCGAAAATCTCTTGAATCCAACGGAACGATATCACCCACCTCCCCCAACATTGGAAAATCCGCCGGAAAACGAATCCGACGCTCAAAAAACATCACGCATCGAGAGGAATATCCAAGAACAAAAGAGATTCGATGATGAAGAAATAAAGTTAGAAACCAAGAAATTCAACGGTATGAGACTGGAAGAGGCGGACAAAATCTAAGATCCATACTTTATCTAGCCCTTGGAAACGAAGGAAAGAAAATATTCGGCCAGAAGTTCACAAGAGTCAAAGTTCTACAAATTTCTTTCAAAGAATTTTGGGACAATTTGTCCACAGCTTTTGTGAGAAAAACAAACATAACCTTCGAAAGACACAAACTCTTAAACAGAAAACAGAGGGACAGAGAATCATTAGAACAATTCTGGGGGGCACTGGCTGAAATGGCAAAACGATGTAACATTCCCACAGGAGAAGACGAATGGATTAGAGACATTTTTATTAATAACATGAAGAATTCAGATATCCAACGGAAACTTCTCACGGAAACCTTACCGCCACTAGAAGCCTTAAGCCCTGATTGATGAAAAAGGAATTACAAACCACATAAAGATGACGAGTACTTTTAAATCCAGCGGATATTCTTCCAACAAATCTTTTAATCATTTTAATGTAAAAAGAGAACCCACCCTAAACATCGAAAGAAACAACACATGTATGAAATGCGGCGGAAGTTTTACAAAAGGACATCTAGCGGTTTGCCCTGCTAAAGATACAACATGTACGACTTGTAAATATCGAGGACATTTTACTAGACTTTGTAAATCACGCCGTAAAAATGTAAATATTGTGGATAGCCAAATTGTAAATAATACGGATCATCATTATCCTTCGGAACAACCAGATGTACATATTGACCACGCTAATAGAGAATGCTGTGGAGTAACAAATGCATGGTCAGAGTCTGGACAAAGCGATAACGACGATTACTCAGTATTAAACGTAACAACTATCTACGATGATCAAGGAAAGGAGATGAAGAAACTACTAAATATCGGCTTAGGAAATGAAAACCAAGTAATTCTGAACATACAGGTGGATTCAGCAAGCCCTGTAAGCTTCCTTATTTATTAGTCCGATAGTTATTACTTGTAAAAAAGACAAATCGATAAAGTTAGCCCTTGATTCAAAATTCATCAACAAACAAATATACAAGAACAAATATCAGATGCCTAATATACACGAATTAGTTGATAACGTGGCGGCTCAAATTTCGAACAATTCCGCCGGAGAAGTATGGTTTACAAACCTAGACCTAAAGAACGCATATAGTCAACTCGCACTGGACAATTTTACTAGCAGCCAATGCAACTTTAGTCTAGTCGGCGGAGATATAACAGGCACTTATCAATTTTTAACGGGTTTTTACGGACTCGGCGATATGCCAAACGAGTTTCAGAGAGTTATGGACTCAACTTTGGGAAACATTCCTTTTACAAATTGCTACCTCGACGATATATTAGTCGCTTCCAAAGGAAGTTTTAACGATCACAAGAAAATCGTTTACAAAATTTTATCAACGTTAGACACTTACAATTTCGCAGTTAAATGGTCGAAGTGCAAATTCTTCCAAAAAGAAATTGAATGGCTCGGTTTTAAAATATCGAAATCAGGAATTGCCCCATTATTCGATAAAACCAAGGCAATCAAAGATATACCAACCCCAAAGAATCTAAAAGAATTAAGATCATTCTTCGGGTCAACTAATCAGTACATTAAATTTGTACCAAATCTAGCATCCCTCGGAAGCCCGCTTAGACCTCTTTTAAACAAGAAGTCAATTTTCTTTTGGAATGAAGATCACTCAAAAGCTTTTGTCAAGATTAAATCTGAAATAGTAAATCTTACTGAAAACACTCATTTCGACGTAAAAAAGCCCACGAGAGTAAAAACAGATGCTTCACATAATGGATTAGGTGCATCCCTTGAACAACTTCATGAGAAAGTTTGGAAAACAGTGTCATTTGCTTCAAGATTTTTAAATCCGCACGAATCGAAATATTCAACAAACGAATTAGAGTTATTAGGAGTTGTATGGGCGGTTGAACATTACAAAAATTATCTCTATGGCTCCGAATTTGAAATTATCACCGACCACAAAGCTCTCCTTTCCGCTTTGTCACCAAATCACGGAAACAAAACATACCATAGCCGATTGACAAGATGGGTAGATCGTCTCCTACCATTCAATTTTACTATCAAACACTTAGCGGGAAAAGATATGGGTTTTACAGACTTAATTTCAAGAACTCCTTCGGGTAAAGCAATTCCCTCATCACACTACGACGAAGAATTTGTAGTTGCTACTACCAAAAAAATATATAGTGCACTCAATCCTTCGGATAATGAAAATCCATTACGTAATTCAATTAATTCGATTTCGGAAAATTCCCATTACATGAAATTACGAAATCACGTAATAATCACAGCATTGAATTTCGTCAGCTCTTCCATTTCAATCTGCAATCAAAAACATTATAGAACAGAACTTTGTAATTCTAAATGTATTCCTTCGGATTTCTCAAACACTGATTTTACTAAAATTATCCTATCAAATTCAGGCTTTATCTATTTTTTAATCCTTAACAGTAGCTTAATTAGTAATCCTTCGGATCTCAAACTTATAAATAGTGTAAATATGTCAAATAACCAAATTGTAGTAAATCCTTCCACTTCCGGGATACAGGTCTCTATCGATTTTCAAATTTCATCAGAACACAAGAAGTTAGTAACTAAATTCCGAGAAAATCTCAAGTTACCCGAAAGACCTTTGGATTTAAATACATTATTCAATGCAAAATTGGTCGCTTTATTAACGGAAGATGATGAATTATTAAACCCAATTGTTAAAGCTCTACAGAAAAAAGTAGATAACATCAATGCAAATTCCCGTTATCTACACCAATTTTCGAAAGAACTTCATGAATCCGACGGACTATTATATATTGATGGAAAAATAGTTATTCCGTTTACACTTAGAAACGCCGTTTTAAAAACATTACATGAATCTCACCCTGGCCAATTCGGTATGAAATACTTGGCACAATACATTTGGTGGCCACACATATATCGACAAATTTGCTTCCACGGGATTAATTGCACACAATGCACGCAAACCGACAAAGGGAAGTCGATCTTAAGCAGAGAAAGGGCCCTCGACTGGAACGCTGACGATCGGGTAGAGGACGGATACAAAGACTCCCTCATACAGAAAAAGAACCAGTCACCATTGGAGAAAGGCTATGATTCAGACCTTCCCACTACTTCAAAACCTCAATCAGCCCAAGTGTCCTTAAACAGTCCGTTTAAAGGTCCAAGAAAGTCATACAAATCGAAGACACAACAGACGCGGAAACCAGACACTAAGTCAGGAAGACAAACAGTGTCGCTCACCCCGGTCACCACCAGATCTAGAGGAACGAACCAGCCTTCAAAATCCAACAAATCGAAGAAGAACCAAAATAAAGCCTCGACGTCGAATACTGGATACCTAGCAGGTGACGAATCAATGTTTATTCCGTCGGATACGTCGGACATTAGCGATTGGGAATGGATTGCGGGAGGTTTCCCATGTAGAGAAATGATAAGAAAACGCTTCATTTCAGATAACGACAATTTTAAAAAAGAACCTACCTCATCATTAGATCCTAAAACATATCAAACTAATATAAAACCTGAGAATTTAGACGAACAATCTCAACCCTCGGACACAGCGGAATGCCCAATTAGTATAAAACCAGCACTTCAAACTACCTCACACCCACCTGACGAACCTTCTACGGCTACGACAACGGAGCCGCCAATCATTCCTTCGGATTGGACAAAACCATTGGTGGGAGAAAAACCGGTCGATTTCCCAGTTTTCGAAATAGAGGACTCCTCAGACGAAATTGGAACCAGCGAGGATAGACATCCTAAGGAAACTAATACCACCGGTAACGAACTTATTTTAAGACGTTCAAGCCGAAATGTTGGCCCCCCTAAATTCTATGGTAAGCGATATTTCATAGATATTATAGATGAGCTAGAAAACCAACCAGGCTCCGCTATTATTCCTATATCTCTGGACGAGGATGACAGCTCGAGCTTCCCCACACAAACTTTCAGAGAGAATCCCTTGGATAATCAGACCAACATTTGCAACACACTACCGGAAGACAGTACACCGGACCTAGCTTACACCCAATCTCCTGATCGATTCTCCATCGCCTCTACTGACGATTCTCTGAGAGATGCCGTGAACTGTTTTGAAAATTACATCGACTTAGATAGTGAAATTTTCAACGCCGAGCTGGAAAAATTTATGGAAGGGGACAGCTAAACTCAATCAAATTCTAAAACTCACATTTAGTCATTTATAATCTGTACTAGTATTTTGTCTAAAGCGCAATTAGTGCTTACTTAGCTGTAACTACGGATTACAATCCGCCGGATTTAGGAAATTTATTATCCTCTATAATTTAGTCATTCCTTTGGAGCATCAAAATGACATTTGTTATACTGTGCAGTATTTAAAATTTCATTTTGTCGGACTTCTCGAGAGGGAGAAAAAGGGATTGATAACATGTTAGGTATTATGGCGCTTAGTAACTTAAATTTTTTCCCACTAAGGGGAATGTTGTGATTCTTACCATTTGTTTTATTTCACTAATTACTTTAAAGTATCTTAACTGGTTAATCTTGATTTGACCTTGCTATCTTCATTCTCTCCGTCGGAGAGAATGACCGCTCACTTTTTTAATGTTTTAACTTAGAGATTAATTCACTTTTTAAACATATCTTATTTGTAACTAAGTAGAATTAACCGTAACAAAGGAACATTTTATCACTGTTTTACGATTTTCGATTTATCCTAATAATTTTAGGGGAATTAATTTTAGTTTTTTTGTATTTACGGAATACTAGGCTGACTATTATCGGAAAATACAATAGTTCCATACGCAATTACCACTAAAAGCACCAAAAGTTTAAAAAATTTCGAGCACAAGAAACTTTGACCTCTCATAGCAGTTCGAGTTCCGACTAATGTAAGTAATCGTATTACGTGATTCTTCCTGACATTTTCCCCTCCCTTTAAGTTACTATGAGCACACAGTTCGAAAGACTCCTCAATTTAGCAACACAAACTAATTTTTTTCTTAGAACAAACATTCAGCAGGCAATCAACAAAAGTAGTATATAGATGTTTAATAGGAAAATTTTCACTAAGTCTTCATTGTTTGAATGAAAAAATTAATATGAAGGAAGAAAGGACTTCTAAAGGTTCTTTTAGTGAATTTTAACCTGAAATTTTAACTTTTTTCTCAAATTTTTATAAAACTTGAGATTTCATTTAATTGTTTTTATTGTTTTTTTCCAAACTTTCAAAAGTTTTGAAAGGTCTTCAGAAATCTCTATATTCAATTTTTAACGGTCTCAATTTTGATCTCGCAATGCAAATCATACTGTTTCAGTAATGTGTCAGCAAAAATTCATTGCCAAGTCAGACTTTCTTGACTTTATTTCTGATACGGGATGAATTCAGATATCAGTATCGCAGAAATGTAGCAATAGTGATCATCATTGTTTTTTATGTTATTTATCAGTTCAAAACAGTGAAGTTACCGAGATAATCATTGTTCCGATTTTGGAGCAAAGTGACGGAATATTTGTGCTCGGACGGCTTTTCTTATCCAGACAAATTTCGACTTTTTAACTAGCCATTTTTGACACAATTTTTTATATCACCTGAAAGATATTGTAATTTTGATTTCAAACTCAAAATGATATCTCACCCGTGATTTTTTTTTGGTAAAGTTATGCGGGTTTAAAATTTTCCAATTTGGGCAATTTGGAACAACTATGGCGTGATAGATTTCGGTTTGCATAATTAGTGCTTAAGCTGCGATCAAATCCATTCGATCAAACCCGTGTTAGAAATTGTTCCAAACTGGTTGAAACAGGCTATTCATACTGAGTGATACGTTACTAGGAGCGAAATCTATCACTGATACGAGCAATTTTGTTGTTTTTTCAAGTTTCATAAAGCTATGCCTTGACCAGATTCAAAACGTCCACTTATCGCGTCAAAGTCTTTTTTCTTTTTTTTCACCTGTATTATTTTTGAAATCTGGTTAAAACATAGCCTGAAAGTATGTATAAGCAATCTCACGAACCCTAAAATTGGTTCAAAATAGATTTGAAACTGAAAATAGTTTCCTATTATATAGTTTCCTGTACAGAATAAATGAACCACGTTTGATTCTTTAAACATAGTTGGCCCATAGTTGTCTATAATAAAACTATGTTACAGACCAAAAATTCTCAAATTTACTCTGAAATTACTGGCACAGTACTAGTTTCCTCAGAGGGTACCCAAAAGAAAAACACTGCAAATTTCACTGCAAACATTATCTAACTGCAAACTTCATCATCAACATTAAATTTCACTGCAAACTTTATCTCACTGCAAACTTTATCTCCAACATTAAAGCGTTGTAAGATTTAGCTTTTTGACTGGCTGAACTAATTAATTAGCGATTGATTTCCGATTTGTATTGTGCTTGACTTGACGCTTAAATTGTTTTTCACCCTGCGCAAAAATCGTTCCAAACTGAGTTGAGACAAATCAAGTCAGGTTTGTCAATGTGGTTCTAGACTCCATATTCCTCTTTCTTTCAGGTATTTAACCCTGACCAACTAAGAAGTATTTAACCCTGACCAACTTTGAAAAAGGGGAATATTTTTGTATTTGGGTGTTTAGTTTATTTTTCTTTTTTTTTGTTTATCACTCGAATTCACCGCTACAAATACCGGTTGGAAAATTTTATTGTTCCGACTTTCGATACGAAAGTAACGGAATATTTGTGCTCGGGGTGGGTTTTTTTATTCTTCAGACAAATTTCGACTTTTTAACTAGCCATTTTTGAGGGAATTTATTTATATCATTCGAAAACTATTGTTGTCGTGAACTTGAATTTGAAAAGATATTTCAACTGTGATTATTTTTCATAAAGTTATGAAGGCTTAAAGATTGCCATTTTGGCCAATTTGGGGCAATTAACGCGCGATATATTTCGCGCTATTAACGCGCAAGCGGAGAACTAATCCGTCTTAAAATCGTTCCAAATTGGTTGAAAGAAGCTTAATTGCCGTAATTGATTTGTTACAATGAGCGAACTCTATCCATTTGTACTTCAAATGGCGTGTGGGGGGATGATTTTCATAAAAAACTTCAAATTTTAGAAAAAAAAATTCATTTTGTTTTATTTGATTTAACTTTTTAATGTTATTACTGCTCCATAAAACCTTAAAAGGCTGTCGGAACATTCAGGGCTTCGCCCTGATACGAGCAGTCTTGTTTTTTTTAATTCGAACTAGTAAAGCGAGCGAGCACGCCTTATTTATGTCGTTTACAATAGCGTAATTATACCAAATTTTGATTTTACTCAATTAAAAATATTTTTTGGAGATTTTCAATTCCGTTTTGGGAATCAAAACTTTCAAAAATTCAAAAAAATTTCTGCAAAAAAAAACTTTATGGTCGGAACATGCTAGTTTTGGCCAAATAACCCTAAAGTTTTTAAAACCATTTTTGGCGTCAATCTACAATAAACTTTGGGGCGCCGAATCAAAACATGCTGCTAAATGAGAAAGGTTTGCCATTTTCAAAAGTTCGCCTGCAGCGCAGATAATTTTGGTAAAGTAGGATCCTCATTATAGTTTTCAGAAAATTTTGAAACTTAAATGAAAACCTACTGAAAATCACGCTTTCATATACTGGTTTTCTAACATTGCTGAAGTTTTAGCTGACTATTACACATTTTGAACAATTGAGTTTAAAAACAAATTGTCATTGGAAGTTAATTCCAAAAATAAACAAAAAAATAAATCTACGATTAGTCTTTAAGAACATATTTCACAACTTTTCATATGAAAAGCCAACAAATCAAATTTATCTTCACAATTTCAAGAATTATCTCCAAATAAACAGCTAAACGTGTATGCAATTTAAAGAACTAATAAGACCTTGTGTTTAGGTATCTCTTTAAACTAATTGGCATGATTGGTTGGGAACTATATTTGAATCAAGTTGGGTTTAGATAAGTGCTTTGGGCTAAAATTTGAGGCAATTTCATTTTAAAGATGGGTATTAGGCATGGTTGGGTGGGGTGGGGTGGGGGTAGTTGGTGTTGGGAGGAATCGTGATGAGACCCAGAAGGGAGAGGGGGGGGGGGTTTGGGGGCGATGGACAATTTGGGGGTCATACATATCTAGGCTCTGGGGGTGATGGTAATGGCAGTTGAGTAGTATGAGTTTGATGGGGAGGATGATGTGGGTGGGGGTGAGGCAGTGATGAAAGGGGGAAGGAGTGTGGCTGGTGATGGTTCTGCATGTTCTTCATGCTGGCTGAGTTCATCTGGTGTCTTCTGTAGTTCTGTGTTAACATCTTCTTACGTTCTTCTTGTCGCCGCTTATATCTAAATTACAAAACCAATTTTAAGTTCCAGGAAAAAAAATTTCAAAAAAAATTTGTTATTTCAATGTTTACTTACAGGAAACTCAAAATGAATTTTCACGTAAATACTCACAAAATCAGTTCTTAAGAAATTTAGAAAAAAATACCACACTAAACTGTAGTCAATGATAATTGTTTTTCAAAAAAAATTTCTGAAACTGGTTTGTTCCAGGCCATATTCTCGGCCAGACTTAAGTATTTTATTTCTGCTTCAAAATTTGTTTCCAGCGAACTCAATCAAAAGTTTGTTTAGTTCCTGAAAGTCATACAAAGTCATCCTAAAGATGGTCAGATAGTATAAAGGGAGGCAAATTATTCCAAAAAAAATTAAGTAGAATGAGCTATCTCACAAAAATTTAACTTATCTCACAAGAACTTTTATAATCAGTCTAAAATTTTTTTTATGTATAATCAACCTAAAAAAACCAACAGCCGCATAAATCAGCCGAAAGTACGGAGCTGCAACATGAAATTTAAGAACCAGGTACAAAAATCTAGACTATTTCAAAATGATGTAAATTTTGACTGATTCTTCATTCACACTTCATCCTGCTGCAATCACTGCAATTAATTATATACCCATTTGAATTCTCTTCTCACCTGCTGGATATGACGATTCTGTGCAGGTCGAATATGAGCTCACAGAACTCAAACACTGTGATGATACTCAGTCCCAGCCACAAGCCCAGTGCACCTGGAATACATTGAGAGGTATGAGTTAACTTAAGGCTAGTGGTTTTTCCTTGGTATTTATATCAACATACAAACTTTCACCGAGTTTCGTATAACCTTACTGTCAATACTGGCAAGTCGTATTTTTATGTTTTGGGAGCAAAAAATGAGAGCAACATATAATAAAAATCTAATCACTGAATGAGCACCAACTTGAGCAAGCGCAGAAGATAATTCAACCTGTTGAAGCACCGCTGAGAACTTTCAATTGAGTACACTCTTCTATGGACATGATTGATAAACTTAGGTGCCAATTAACCAGAAAAATTAAAAGTTTTTAGATTAAAAAAAAAACTGAAATTTTGAACTAGATATTTCGTTTATCTTGGCAGCTTATTAAAAAAATTTTGTTAACTTAATACGAGCAAAAAAACATAAAATTAAACAGATTCCAGGCTTGAACATTATTTGCTTTACTTCAATTTGTACGATATTATTTTTCGGGTGTGCGCTTTACGGCCCTTTATTTGAGAGCTGTTTTGCCCCTGTTTCTGTTTAATAACTCAAAGTGTTTTTTGGTTGTTTTTCTGGGCTGGGAATGGTTGCCTCACCAGCAGAAAATTGATCGTTGATCATGGCGGGCATCGAACCGCCGACCTTTTGATTGAGAGTCAGAACAAATATGTATAAATAATTGTATGGCTTACTCAGTCTCCGTGTAGTGTCCCGCGTATTTTGTATCTCCTTGTCTATTTTTTAAAGATATTTTTCTAAAGTATTTGGCAATTAAAAAAGCTGAATTGGTTCTTAAAATTATTTGTTAAATAATCACCTCCGATATTGGACAACAGATGTTCCCACCCGTACTGAGGCTGCTCCCTCACGTGTTCGTAAGACAGAGCCTCGAAATACACTTCCACTCGGAGAAAGTTCTGTCTTAACATCTCCATCATGTCACGTTCGAACCATCTACACAAGAGCAAAAAAGAAATTAATTTGAGTAGGAAAAGTTAAATTCGATTTCAATCTCAAGTTTGTTAGTGTGGGTAATTTCATTACCTGTAGTACATGGTGTCGTTGAATGGGAGGTGGTCTAGGTTGATGGAGTTGTACTGGTCTGGGTTGGATGAGTCCTGTTTGTGCTTCTTGATCACTGCTATCCTCGCCTTCACATACGGAATCAGGAAGTCTTTTGTGGTCTCACGAACTAACTCACTCTCGTCTTTCAGCAGTCGTCTAAAAGAAAAAAAAAGAAAAAAGTAAGAAACGTAATAATCATAATAATTAAAATAAGATTATATATTTTAAAAAATTTTTAATTAAGAGACACCTGCAACCGTGCTGGCTTAATGGTGTCATCCCATACGATTTCATTTTGTATTTGGACCTTTTTATAAATAATTTTGTAACTAGTTATCTTTTGGAAACAATTTCTTATGATTATTATTACTATTAAAATTATCATTATACTTATCATAAGAATCATAACAATATTACTCATCATGATAAAAAACATTTGTTTTCAAGCTAATATATCATAAAAGGATGTTAAAAATACGCATTTTCAACCACGGAACTTTAGTCTGAGAGATAGTTATGGACTTTCTGCTCCGTTTTTACCTATCACTGATAGCATAGATTGTGAATGATTTAAAATATTGTACAAAAACTCAACTCAATCAACCATTTTTCATGAAGACCAATCTGTAGGCAGACTCAGAACAATAAGCAACTGAAAACGCTTGCCATAGACGCGGCACTGGCTATTAGCGATCGCTTGCTCCGCTGGGCTTCTATTCGGCACGAGTGTTCTTGTGCGCGTAAATTTTTGTTTTGCCAGTAAATTATCTTATTGTGTTCTTGCAATTAATAATTTTTGTTAACAAATCATGTGATAATTGTCCTGGGAAGCTTGAACCACGACTGAGCGTCCTTTTGAGTCTGTCAATCGATCATGCATCAGTTTATCAGACATTGGTCTATTAAAAAACTCGTTTTTCATTTTATGTGGTAAAAGATAGTTCTGTTAAACGATCACTCCGCCCTTAGGTTGCTTAAAATATTGTCAGAAACTAAAATACCTATTAAATTATCAAAGCAAGCACCACACCGGAATACTTTATAATGAAACATACATATCAAATGCATAAAATTTTGCTAAAAAAAAGTTTCGAAGTTTTCTCACGGAGAACTTTGACGTCATCAATCTATGCTTCAATTTAAAAAAAACTCTCTCAGAATAACGACTGGCACTGTAGTTTGCTTAATACTCGTTTATTTGATTTTTATTGCAGAAACGTTTAATAGTATACCCGATTGTTTTGCAGAATCTTAGAAAAAAGTCCAAAGTTGCTATTTATAATTAATTAAATTTCCTCAAACAAAACTTTGAATATCATTTTCAAGCATGTTCGGTTTAAAAAAAATTTATATTCGTAGGTTAGTTTTTCACTGTTTAACTGTTTGAAACTATGATTTAATTGTTTTTTTTTCCATAAGAACGCCATGCGGATGACCGGCCTATTAGAATGCGAGCCGAAACGCAATCAGCAATAACAATTAGTGTGCGGCTTATTGTCCCTTGAATACTTAAAGCAGAAAACTTTGGAGTAGAAAAAACGTTCACTAGTTGTCAAGGCCGCGTTGACATAAAAAAGAGGCCTTGGCAGAAATCAAAGACTAAACATTTTAAACGAGCATGCTAACGAGCACGCATGCTAATGTTAACCACCATGCTCGTGCGCAATAAAACCAACAAGAATAAAATTACAAAGTCTGAAGTTTATAAAACAAAGGTTATTATTGAATAAAGTTTCCAGGTTCAATCTCTCATGTAATATAAAACAACTTCATTTTTTATTGTTTCGAACACCAAGAAAGAGAAATAACTTTGGATTCAAATGCATTCCCACAGGCAAAACTCGTCGCCATATTTGAACAGCCAGGAAATTTTATTGATACATCAAAAAAAAGCTTTTCCGCTCGTGATTTGAATTGCGTAAAAAATTGAATCATGTTTTTAGTGTAGAAAAGCAGCAGTTTAAATATTATCAGTTTTTTTTCTAGCATGAAAAATAAAAAATGGGTGAAATGAGCTGCAAAAGGGTGCGTCGGAATGTTTTTGAAGAGAATTGAAAAAAATGTTTTTTTCATGCCGCCAAGCTAGACTAAGCAAGTCACATCCATGAGCAAAAACTTGTTTTTATAAATTTTGCTTGGTAATTTCAGTACAACTATTGATTTGTACAGGTGAAATTTTTGAAAACTTTACATTTTAACGCATCAAAGGTCCTTCACGAATTACCACAAACCTTCACAAGCTTAAATGTTTGCAAGAAACGCAAGCAAAAAGCAGTGGAATAAAAACTTTAAAAAAATTGGGAGTTTTAAAGAAAATAACGTATGGCCCTAAAGCTTTCAGAATTTCAAAAACTCTTTCATTGACACTTTTTGATAAATTTAGCCTAAATTGAAGAAACTGGATCTAGAAGTAACACTATGATTACCCTGGCGTTTTCAAACATTTAAATACTCTTTCGAAACTCGAACGTGTTCACGTTTGTTTCGCGTCACTTCCAGTTTTGTTTGTAACTGATGACATAGTTAAATTTTCTGTACGAAAATGAATTCCAATCGTGCAAAGTGTATGTATGCAAAAACGCTTCTATAAGGGCAAAAACATAAATAAATTCTTTTTTGTTATTATTAGAGCATTTCAGATTTGATAAATAAAAAAAGTAAAAACGTCGACTTTACTGCTCTTCAAAACATCATTGACACAAGAAAAATCAAAAATTACAAAGAAAAAATTGACGAAAAAGTAAAAAAAAATAACTCAGTTTACGTTAATTTTGATACATATGATCGGATAAATCTGAGCTACTTGCACTGTCGCCATACTTGGCTATCTTTGTTCTTGTTATACTTTAGTTTTAGCCCGTAACTCATATTGATCTAGTTTGCTTCCCGTTTTCAAATTCATGCAGTTTTGATGAAAAAGCAGGCGTGTGCCGCTTATGTATATTTAACCATGATGTACTGAAGGGTGCCGTCAAATTAAGACGTTTTATTCACAACTTTGCAGTGTTTTTGGTTACTTTTCTGGGCTGGGTAATGTTGCATCACCCTCAAGCATTGAGCACGGATCATGGTGGGCCTCGAACATCCGACTTTTCGGTTGAGAGGCGGAGACACAATTATTTCACAGCACTTCTCGTCGATAAATCGGAAATCAGCTTTTTTGAATCAACATAAAACATGAACTCTGTTGTACCTGATCATGTGGTGCATATATTTGGTGTTAGGCCAGGTGCTCTCGGAGACAATCTTGGTGAAGAACATCTCGTGGCATGGCTGCGAACACTGGCAGCCGAATTGGCCCGACTGGTAGCCACCATACACTGATTTCCTAGATAAATCATGGATCTCTTTAACTAACTCGGACCTCCCCCACCCTACGCCTAGGGTACCAAGTAACGAAATGCCAAACCTAAAAAGAACTAATTCAACTGTTAAGCATATCTGCAATTTGTACCTTAGTAAGGAATCCCCCATTTGCAAATAGGGGGATAGTAAAATAATTCCTATATCAGATTGCACCTTGACAATTAAGAATTGGGAAAACACGGTTTTAATTAATTATGCTACAAAATACTGCGAAAATCCTCAAAACATTAGGAAACTGCATTTTAGAAAAAAAAATACATGTTTTTCAAAAATGTTTGAGCATTTTTAAACGCAGAAGAATCTTTTTTCAAAAATATATATAGAATGACGCTAACAAAATTGAAAATGCTTTGTCCGTTTGGGTTGGTGTTGCAAGAGTTATAACGGAACACTCTAGGTGATGACTAATGGCTAAATGGCGTTGTTTTCACCTGCAATGTTCCTGTGTGATGTTGACAATGTTGCAGAGCGTGACTTTCTCCAGTAGTAGCGAGTCCACACAGCCACATGTTTCCAGCAGTTGGGCCTAGAGCACCATAAGAAAGCATTAGATCTCAAAGTAGCATTCTGGTATCTCTTGCCATATCAGTTTGGCTACGACAAGTTAAATTAGTGTATAATTGACGTCTTCTGTAGATTTGTACCAAAACACAACCCCCTTCCCCTATACATCTCCCAAACTTTCGAAGAATGGATGGAACGACAGGAAAATTGCAATTTCGATGCGTGTACTTTAGGAAATCTCATGTTTTGAGAAGTGGTCAAAATCAAATTGATCCTACAATTAAAAAAAAACGTATCATAACTTCAGAAAACAAATTTTTAAAAGTCATACATTGAAATGAGTGTGGGTAAATAAAACCAACAACGAACCTGAATGCAATAAGAAAAACGTATCAATAACTTCAGAAAACAAACTTTCAAAAGTGATACTTTAAAATAAGCGTGTATAATTAAAAAACAACGGACCTGAATGCACATTTTGCTGCATCCCAGATGTGAGTATCCATAGAGTCCAGAAGAGGCACCTGCAGAGCTACTGTCTGTTTGGTTGCTCCTTTCCCTGCTCTGTTGTTGTCTCTTGGTCCTGTTGTTCCTCTCCAGAGTGGCCTGCATGTTGGGGGGCCATGAATGGACACAGCTGCCATACCTCCCTGTCTGACGGGAGAGAGTCTGCTGTCGAACACCTGTGAGAAAATTAGTTAGATTTGGAATCATAATAAAATTGCTTCCAATTTGCCGGAAATAGTTATTGGATAAATTTTTGAGCATTTTTCCTTCAGTTAATTGTTCATTGAGGTTGAAAAGGTAGAAAATTTCTTTTTCGCCCTAAAAATCCAAACAAATTTTTTTTTCTTAAAATTATCATAAAATTGGTTTTTATTTAAGATAACTACTCGCTTGTCGAAAGCGAAAAACTCCCAACGTTGATGACTCATATGAAAGTTCTTAGTTTGGGTCTCCTGACCTATGCTTGTGTGTCTGCCTGGCGTGAGTGTGATTCCTAATTCATCTGGAAATGGCTGCACTTTTGGGTCCTGGATAGACAGTCTGGCGCCTGTTCTGTGGGACAAGATACCCAGATAGTTGGCCACATCTAGGAAGATGGTCAGTTGCAGTGCATGGCGCACACCAGCTTGGGAGATGTTGTGCAGCTGCGATCCATTTTGACCTAGTTGAGAGAAAAACTACAACTACTTTATTCGATTTTCACCTGAACCTGAAATAAAATATAATTTCTTCTAGAATTGTTGGCCTAACTATGAAAAGTAAAGTATTATGATTCAACATCAACGAAGAAAAGATCAAGAAAAAAACATTTTTCATGTAGTACACTTTGTTTGCATTATATTTAAAAAACTCAAAATGACCTGTTCTAAGACTTGATTTTTTGGATCTTGTCAACAATTTTTCACCCCTACTGCAATAGGGGGGGGGGAGGAGATTCGTTACAAGGTGCCAAATTCGTATATGCTTAACTGTTCAATTCTTTCTTTATAGGGAGAGGGGGGATTCGTAACAAGGTACCATAGAGGGGGGGGGGGGGGGTAGTTAACAAGATCCGATTTTTCATATTCATAAAACTGGAAGGTTTTTTGGTAATTGTTTACCTGAGGCGTCGTTGAATGTCCAGCAGTTTCCGTACATGTCGTTCTGGAACTCAGTGAACCACTGTTTGGAACAAGTCTTGCCATCGAATGTGCACTGGATAATGAACTCATCCTGCTGGTGACCCAGTAGTTTGATCTCTTCTCGGGTCATCATTCCTGCAAGGAGAAAGAAAACAGGTGGGAAAAATCAGGTGAATTAAGAAGAGATGTAAAGGAATTAGTTTTCAAAAGAAATAATTTTCAAGCAAGACTGAAGTTTTGGCAGAATGGTTTATGATCGTTTCTTAGGTTTGAAAATGTCTGAAGTGAAATTAATTGTAATTAAATTGGCAAACAGTTTTGTCAGCTTTTTTCCGCTGAAAATTTAGAATTCGGGATTTACTGGCGCTATTCATCACAAAAATTGGGAAAAGATTGCCCAAGTACTTTCCCAACAAAACATCAATCCTCAAAAGGGAATCTTCACACACACACACACACACACACACACGCACACACACACACATACACACACATACATACATACACACGCATTCACATATACATACCTAAGTCTACAACATCACTGTAATCCTCGTGTTTTGACGTCTCGTAGTAGATCTGCCAGTGTCTATTGGACACTAGATTGGAAGTGTCTCCAAGAATGCTTCCCAATTCCCCGTTCTTGTCTTCGTCCTTGATGCAGAACTGACATGTCTTAGCGCAGTGCTCCTTCATGAATGTGTAGTGGCTGTTCGAAATTTCACAGTAGTTTTTGGCCGCCCATCTGGAAAAGAGACAATAGGTGTTTTTGAAGAAAAAGTCTAAAACTTTTGATTACTTTCCCAGAAGAGCCAGATAAAAGATATATAACAAATGAGCCCAGGCACGGATTATTAAATCCTCGGTATAAACGAGACGTCAGAACTCTTGAAACTTTAGTGACATCTAAATAGTTGATCTTTTTTTAAAGTTTCACGGGCTGATCACTTGCTTCCAATTCTAGAACAGAATCAAATAAATAACCATCAATTTTTTCCATATCAGAGACTATTCAACAGACAACTGTTTGAAAAAAATTTGGAAACAACCAAATCTGCTTGCCTCGGACACGACTTGTATTTGTCGCTGATGTCGCTGCATGTCACTCTGATGTCACAGTCCCTCTCGTCCACGGGAGTATCGCAGTCCTGATACCCATCACACCTCCACTCTTTCTTAATACACCTACAAGAAGAATATTAATCTACAAGCATAAAATAATTCTATAAGAAGAAAATAAATCTACAATACTTCTACAAGAAGAATATAATTCTACAATAGTTCTACAAGAAGAAAATAAATTCACAAAAATAAAATAAACTACAAAATAAAATTATTCTACAAGAAAAAAATTAATAATATATATATATATAACTTCGTAATACACCTGGAAGTAGAGTATAGATTAAGTTTTAAAAATTGAGTATTAGATTGGGTTTTCAGCTTGTTAAAAATTAGGATAAAATTTAGGTTTAATTCGGTTAAACTTAAACTAAGACTAGTTTAAGACAGGTTGGTTTTAAGATCCCTAAAAGTTTGTTGCAGGCTTTTATCTAAGTTTAGATTAAAAGACTAAGAGTAACTAGGCTAAACTAAGAGTTAAGTAAAAAGGTTGAATTAAGAATTAGTTGCTCAGAATTGGTTACGTATCAATAAAGATTAATGATCGGACACTAGATCTGCCAAAAGCTGTTTTGCTTTTGGCAGGTATTTAAATTAGTATGACCATAACTGAGTATAACTTAAAGGTTAAAATATCACATTTGACATTCCCCGCGAAATTTCAGCTAAAGCATAAACTTTCGGCATGCAAAAAAAATATTCTGGCTCAGGGATGAGGTAGTGGGTAGCCTGGTCGGGATAGCCCCACGTTAGCGCCCGATGGATAGGACGTTAGCACCTGAATGTTAAGATGATGGGTTTACCCAACGAAAGCACCCGATGGGTCAAGTAATGGTTTATTATACATAAATGATTGTACTGCGCTAATAAGGACTCAATGTTGATAGCTAAAGCGACTAAGAAATAGTACGCTATTCTGCAATAGATCAGTAACGTAAGTATACTAGTCCAGCCGAAAGGTTATCTTATCGGCGGAGAATTGGATCACAAAAGCAAAAGTACCAAAGCTCATATCGAGAACAGTACTAAATTTACTGAAAATTACAAAATACAAGTTTTTCAGAAGTTTTAGTTTTGATGTGATGTTACTACTCCTCGGTGGGGTCTAAACGGCATCCCGGTTTGCGGCTCGATTAACGGTCCACTTCCTCAGTTCGTCGAGCGTCATTGGTCGCCTAGAAGTTCTATCGCCGAAATGATAGAAGGGGTATTTAACCAGTCTGGATCGAATACGATCGGTGTTGGTGTTGCCTCAATCGATTCGGAGGGAAAGCCCGATGGGTGGAATTGTGTCGTACGAACCTCAGGGCTGAATTGAACCTTCCTGGGTGAGATAGTTTGAGAGGGTGATACGAGGAACTTTACATCACTCGACTGCTCAGGTCTTTCTTCTGATAAGTAAACTGTCGCTGGATGCGATGTCGAAGATGTTGTCGGGGGGGGGGGGGGGATTAGGTCTACTACGTCAACTTGGTGGCTTTCCAATTCGATAGTGGTCGCTTCGATCGTTGAGCAATAAGGAGATATGTGAACTCGATGAAGTGCTTGTTCAACTGGCCTCTCGTCCGACTTGTCTACTAGGCTAGTAAACACTCTCTCCCCCAACATTTTCGGAGGTTGTCTAGATCGCATGGGTCAAGTGTTGTGTCGAGCATAGGTGTCAGGCAGTTTTTTAGAAGGAGGTGATTTCACTGGTGACGACGCCTTCTTTTTTGCCGTGCCGGACAATTTAGCTTTTATCTTGCTAGAGGAGGGATCTTTTAGCTGGTTTTCCCTATCCGCCATTGAGTCCGGTTTAGCATTCCCTTCGGTTTGTTCTGCTCCGGGATACTCCGGGTAGTTTGGTATCCCTTTGTTGCTGGTCTCTACTTCTTCGTGGTTGTCCAGGAAGATGAGTGGCGGGATTAGATGCGGGACTGAACTATTATCGCCAGAGTCAAGGTCGATCTCTGCCTTTTCTATTTTTGGTTCAGACTGGTTCGGGATTTCAACTTTAAGGTCTGCTTGATCTTATGGTGGGCGTTCCGTTTGATTTTCTAGATCGATTATAGTTTTAGTCTTTAGCTCATTTAGCGAGATTAGGTCGCTGGCATCGTCGTCTGATAATGTTTCGACGGGAGGGTTCGTCGCTCTGCTTTTGTTTTGACTAATTCTAGAATAGTGGGCTTTGCCCGCGGGCCTGACTCGTGGTCACTTTCGAGGCCAATGGGAAGCCTCAGCCGTTTCCGTTGTTCTTCCTCCTCTCTCAGGAGTGTCTCTCTCAAACTATTCATTGCAGCGTTCCGCCCCAATATCGAGCTCTTCGAATTTGGCCTGAAGGTTTCTTTTCTTTTTGGTCGCCTTTGAACTTCTAAAACCGACGTTTCTTTGGGATTCTCCTGCAGGTTAGCCCGGGTATTTTCTTTATCGTGAGACGTTTGTTTGCGACCTTGCTGCACTCCTGCAATGCTTTGCAAAATGACCCTTACGGCCGCACTTATTGCAGTTCCTAACCTTGGCTGATCATTTAGTTAGGTTTCCTTTCTTAAACTGCTGACCACAGTTACGACATTTATTGTTTTCGACAATACTTAGGGTCGGTTCGGTATTTACATATTGTGGTCTTTGCGCCGCCTTATAGACAGGGAATTTTAGGTATTGCTGGTGGATTTTGGTACTTTTGTCGTGGACAAGTTCGTAGGACAGCACGTTTTCTGGAGTCAAGTATTCGATACATAGTTTCTTCTGTATCTCGACATTTTGCAGATTTGTAAAAAAAATATCTCTGACTAATTCTGACTCAAGTTCTCCCAATTTACAATTTTTTGCCAACTCGGATAATGTTTCCTGGAATTTCTCTAAACACTAACTTTCTTTTTGTCTTCGGCTGAAGAATTTATATCTTTCGTAGGTTAGATTAGTAGAAACTGTAAGAGAAGTTTTTAGTAATTCCCAGAATTCAGCAAAGTTAATATCCAGTATTCTTTTTCCAGGTTTTTTGTGTGAGAAGCATTTCTGTCCTTCTCTTCCAAG